TCATAAATGTCATGAATGCTGTGGTGGTTATAAAGTGAATGGCACATTACCTGCCTTCAGAGAACTTTTAATCCATTAGGAGAGACAGAAACCACCTTACATCATAAAATTTTGTATAGAATGTATACGCATCTTATCCCCTTTAATTGAAAATTTCAGAAAGTGGTACTATTTTCTTGAGAGTAATACTGTTTGAAAAGGAGAGTGTGGCTAAATTTCAAAAAGACATGATCTGAGCATTTGTGCTATCTGCTATAAAATTCTAATGTTCAAATTTATATTATGCAGCATAACCACTATGGCCTCTGCTAATGTAATGGACTGTGGTATTATATGTGCTGACAGTGTGTTATTTCATTATTCTTATCCCTGCGGGACAGAGTGATCAAAGACATTAGACTAATTTAGAAGTGGGGAAAAAATTAGAGTTCTCAATTGGCCTTTACATTATGCTTGGTTTTGCACTAAAGGATCCATCAATGGCTTAAATGGTGTATTTGCAGCTTAAGAAAGGGACAGTCAGTGTCAGAGTATTCCAAGTAGCACCTTTTTTCTCATAATGTTTAATACCACATTTTTCAGGATTCTTTTTCTAATTGATAAGCTTTATTTAAAGTGGTGATATTTTAATCGACAAGCACATTTTTCTAAAATATAATTTAAAATCTGTTTAGTTTTTTTCCTCATTCTTAAAATGCTTGATTTTCATCATTAAATTAACACATTCTTAATATTGCTATTCATGACAGGATTTTTTTTTTTTTTTCAGAGAAAACCATTATAACTTATACTTTGGTTATTTTTAGAGGAAGAGCAGAAGGAACTCCTTTGTCATACCTTATGTGATATTTTAGAAAGTGCTTGTTGTGACAACTCTGGATCATACTGCTTGGTTTCATGGTTAAGAGGAAAGACAACTGAGGAAACTGCTAGTATTTCTGGGAGTCCTGCAGAGTCTAGTTGCCAAGTGGAACATTCTTGTAAGATACATTTTTATTTCCTGAAGTACTTTCTTATACCTTTGTTTTAATGAAACTATTGAACATTTTGAAGGAAAATATATTTTAAATTTTCATAATGTATCTTTTTTCTAGCTTAAGCTTAATTATTGAACCTTAATATTTTTTATTTCCTTTTCAATTATTTTAATTACTAGAAGATATTTTTGCAGAAAGGTCTCTCTTAAACTTTTAAAAATGTTGTAGTTCTGCTTGATAACCTCTTTTGAGCTTTAGAACTCTTACTTAGAAAGTGTAAAGAACATATTTTTATATACCTTAGTTTCAGATACGTTAATGTTTTCTTTGGTGTTGGAGAAAGATTTTTTTGACATCAGAAAATTTCTTAAATTTATCTGTAGTTGCTTCCTAGAGCAAAGAAGGGGACATTGTCCTTCATTACACATTGTTTCTTTTTCTCCTAAACCTTTTGGACTTTTAAGGTCGTTTAAATTATGTGTTTTAATTATGCCTTAGGTTTTTCTACCTTGATTGAAGGTTTTTCTCTTTAAAATAAGTAATAGCTATTCTAATTATTGATAAAATTATATATTCTTTTTTCTTTAACCTTTGAAAATTCTTATGTAATTGAACTAAAAACGAGCAGAGTGAACTAGTAAAATGGAGACAACTGCTGGTATGGAAACTATATAAAAGAGTTGGTTTTCTGATTTGCTTTTCAGGAATAATCTTGCTAGTTGGTGATTTTTGATAATTGGCAATCCCAAATGCTTATATTGAATGAGTGACTTATTCCAACTACAACACATTCCATTAACTGTCATCTCTACGGGAATTGTTTTTTAAAGAAATTACATACCTGATTTCTCGAAAGTACATTGCGATTGACTGTGATATGCATTTTGCTTTCCATATAGGATTATCTATAAGGCACTGTCGCCTCCCGAGGCTGAAATGTCCCTGTGTTGTCAGTGTCTTTTCTCTGCTACCTCTGCAAATTAAAATGCCTTAAGCCTGGCAATTCTAATAGTAGTATATTTGCAAGAAATAATTTTTAAAATTTAAACAGTTGAATGACATTTCCTTTTTAGACCTTTCAAACATAGCCTTTCAAAAAGAATTTAACGTATTTTTAGAGTTGATAATGACATTTGAAGACAACAAGTGGAAAATAGTCACAAGGACGACAGTCCAAAATGTTAAAATTGGTTTTAAAACCAGCTTTTACTGGTTTGCATGTAAGCACGCTTCATAGTTTTATTTAGGATATTAACATTTTGAGAGAGGAATAGTTGAACTATTTTAACGGTGTATTAAAGAATATGTGCTTAAAGCTAGTCTATATATTAACGTGCGAGAAAACAATAATCTCTTTTTATGTAACATTTTTCATTAGTATCTTAATAGACCATGTGTTTAGTGTGGAATATGCTATACATTTCTGTAGTGGTGGGTTACATTGCTATAGGTTTAAATGGCCTCATAACGCATTAAGTTTGATAATGCAGTACCTAATTTTTAGATGGGCAAATTGCGTGGAATTCCCTCCGAAAAATGTTTTAGTAATTTTCCAGTTTAGCTTTTGTCTCATTTTTAAAGTTGACATGAAATAAAACCATATTTTAGATCTTTTTAGTATTGTACACATTTGAAACATTTTAACTGAAAATTTGAGAATTTAACTTAGATATTGACAAATGAACTGAACTTACATTGAAAGTTTTATTCCATATAACAATCTATTTTACCTGTTCTTCCCTTTATTCCCAGCTATGTTCTTTTTCTTGTGTTTTATATTTTTCCACCATCCCTGCCTGCTAAGCTTTTTATTTTGCTTGCCTCTTTTCTCTAAATTATGATCTTTATGTCTACTTTCATACTACACCTAGTAAAATTATTGGGATAATCAAACACTGTAGAACAGTTAGTACAGTTTGGAAAAGATTAGATAGATTTTTATTTTAGCCTGAAATTTTAAATGTGAAGTGTTTTCCCCTCTTGTTAATATGACATTCTGTACAAACATTAATTTCATTGGCTTATGTGGTGTGTATAGTTTTGGCTTGTTGGTAACGCACACTTGTTCGCAGTAGTGAATACTCAGGTTCAATTTCAGTTTGTTTCCCGCATAAACCAAAAGATATTTAATTCATCTGGACTTCTAAAGATTTTTAAAAGTAATTTGAAACACTTGAAAATTAAAACTAGGCTTTGAAAAACTAGCATAATGTGACATTTTAAATTACAAGTAAAAATTTCTAATTTTGAATTCATAATGCATCAATTTCCTTAACTCAGTAGTGAGAATTTATATTTGAAAGTACTAAGATTTGTTGTAAAGTATATGTGAAATTGTTCACATTGTAATAAAGTAGGCATTTTGATTTCATGTGTGATATCTGTACAGACTATCTTCCTGGACCCAAGACTATCTGGATTCAAATCTCAGCTCTGTTTATTGCTGTGTACTCTTGGGAGGATTTTTCTCTGTGCCTCAGTTTCCTCTTCTCTAAAATGGAGATAAGAGGGTGGTTTTGAACATTAGATGAGGTAAGACTTGCAGAGCATTTTGAAAAGGGCCTTAGTAAAGTGCCTGCTAAACACTTACCTTTGATTAAAATGCCTTCTTTGATTCCTTTTGATTTTTTTTAAATTTATACTTGTACTGTGTTAATAAACAATCAAGTTACTGAAAATTTCTTAACAGTTACACAAATAAACGAGGAAACAAACTTAAAGCTGCCATTGAACCTGTGTAGTTTCAAAAGTGTTATGCCTTTTTTACACATATTTGTTTAATAATTAAACATTAAATCTAAAGATTTTATATTACAAGGAAGATGATTAACTATAATGATTTTACTTAGATCTATAAACTGAACGATTATTTCAAAGTTAAGGACACATAATGATGTCTGACATACTAATTATCAGTAATTTCTCATATTTTATAAACTACCCTAGCATAACCGAATTGAAAAGAAATGTTTAATCACCCTTCTACATTCTCAGTGTTATATCCATTTTAGTTATAATCATGGTAACGAAGATGTGGAAACATAAACTCATGTTGTAGTAAAGTTGAACATAAACCGAGAATTTTAAGGGAGTAAGGAAATAGGGAAAGTTTTGATTGCTTGAAAGTATTTACAGCCTGCTGTGTGTATCTTGTGTCATTTATTTGCCATGTGTAGTGCTGAAAAGTGTCTTTTATGTATAGCTGCCTTGGCTGTCGAAGAGCTTGGCTTTGAGCGATTTCATGCATTAATTCAGTAAGTAACATTGGAACATTTAAAATACTTACCTTGTGGACACATTGCCATTTTAAGTCTGTTCATACTATGGAAAGGTTCTTAGTTTTATATAGTACTGCGCTACTTAACATTAATTTTAAATCCATTGCTTGAAGATTCATTTGCCTTCAAATTTAAAAAAAGAATAATTTGTAAATGTA